TTTATTTCACTGATTCTTGATGTCTCATAGAGTCATTATCTTCCACTTGCCCAATTCTAATTTTTAAGGTATTATTTTCTTCAGTTAGCTTTTGTACTTCTTTTTCCATTTGGCCAATTCTACTTTTAAAGGAGTTGTTTTCTTCAGTTCATACTTTTTCCCCACTTGGCCAGTTCTATTTTTTAAGGAGTTGTTTTCTTCAGTCAATTTTTGTGCTTCCTTTTCCAAGATTTTGGCTCTTTTTCATAATTCCCTTGCATAATTCTCTCTCTTTTTTTAGGCAATTGTGGTTAAGTGACTTGTGTAGGGTCACACAGCCAGTAAGTGTCAAGTGTTTAATCTGATGACAGATTTGACCTCAGGTCCTCCTGACTTCAGGGCCAATGCTGTATCCACTACACCACCTATCTGCCCCAGATTCTCATTTCTTTTCCCAATTTTTCTTCTACCTCTCTTAATTGATTTTTAAAATCTTTTTTTGATCTCTTCCAAGAAGACTTTTTGGGCTTGAAATCAATTCATATTTCCCTTTGATACTTCGCATATAGGCATTTTGACATTGTTGTCCTTTTCTGAATTAGTGTTTTGATCTTCCATGTCTCCATAGTAGCTTTCTATGATCAAGGCTCTTTTTTGGTTTTTGCTCATTTTTAAAAGTTGAGCTCTGGTCCTTGGGTACAGGGAACACTGTCCCAAGCTTCTTGCACTAGGGCCCAGGGGCCTGGTTACTGGCTTTCTGTGCTGGAGCTGGTGGCTTGCCCATTGCAGTAGGATGGCCTGACTTAGTCACACCTGTTCTGCCCCGGGTTCCAGGGCTGGCAGTTTGCCTGCTATGCTGGGGCTGGAGGCCTCACAGCTGGCCTACTGTGCCACTGGCTTGCTGAACCAGAATGCTGGGGCTTCAGTTGTTGATTAATCTGCCAAAGAATTATTTTATAGAGCTAAAAAAAATAAAATTCATATGAAAGGACAAAAGGTCAATAATATTGAATCAATGAAAAAAAATATATAAGTGAAGGAACGTGGCCTAGTAATACCAGATTTGAAACTCTATTGCAAGGAACTAACCATTGAAACAAACTGCTACTGGCTAAGAAATAAAGTAGTGGAAAAGTGGAATAGATTAGGTACACAGTACACAGCAGTAAATGACCATAGTAATCTATATTTGATAAACCAAAACATACAAGTTTGGGGGACAAGAACTCACTGTTTGCCAAAAATTTCTAGGGAAACTGGAAAGCAGAAATATATCTGTCAGGTCTATGAATAAAGGAAATAAATAACAAATAGAGATGATTGTGGGAACTAAAATGAATCATTTTGATTATATAAAATTAAAAAGAGTTTGCACAAACAAAACTAAAGCAGCCAAAATTAGAAGGAAAATAGGAAAGTGGGGGGAAAAATTTTAGAGCCAGTTTCTCTGATAAAAGCCTCTTTTCTCAAGTATATGGAACTAAGAACCATTCACAATTAATAAATGGTCAAAGGATATGAATAGGTAATTTTTAGAAAAAGAAATCAAAACTATCAATAGTTACATTGAGAAATGCTCCAAATCACTATAGATTAAAGAAATGCAGATTAAAATAACTCTGAAGTATCACTTCACACCTATCAAATTGGTTAATATGACAGAAAAGGAAAATGATAAATGTTAGAAGAGATATGGAAAAATAAGGACACATGCATTGTTGATGGAGTTTTGGACTGGTCCAACCATTCTGGAGAACAATTTGGAAGTACATCCAAAGGGCTATTAAAATGTGCATAATCCTTTGATCCCTCAATACCACTACAAGGTCTATATCTCAAGGATATCAAAGAAAAGGGGAAAAGATCTATATGTATAGAAATATTTATAGCAGCTCTTTTTGTGGTGTCAAAGTATTGGAAATTGAAAGGATACTCATCGATTGGGGAATAGTTGAACAAGTTTTGGTATACTGTTGTGATGGAATATTACTTAGTTATAAGAAATGATGAGCACAGTGATTTTAGAAAAACTTTGGAAGTGTAATATGAATTGATGAAAAGCAAAGTGAACATAACCAGAGAATATTGTGCATAGTAATAGCAATGTTGTAATGATGATCAACGGTGAAACATTTAGCTACTCTGATCAGGACAATGATTCAAGTCAATTCCAGAAGTCCTATGATGAAAAATGCTATCCACTTTTAGAGAGAGAACTGTTGAACACAGTTCAAATTGAAGCATACTTTTTTCATTTATATTGTTGTGTGTAAACGTGTGGGTTTTCTTTTGCAACATGGAAACATGTTTTGCATGACTTCATCTATATGTGTGTGTATGTATATATATTTGATATCATATTGTTTGCCTTTTCAAATTGGGGGTCAGTTTTACTGACATGTAATTTGGTAAAATAACTCCTAATAATTGCTTTAATTTTATCTTCATTGGTGGTACATTAACCCTTTAATTTTTGATACTATTAATTGATTTTCTTCTTTCTTTTTATAGTTAAATTAACCAATGGTTTATCAGTTGTATTTTTTTTTGTAAAACTAGCTTTCACTTTTATTTATTATTTCAATAGCTTTTTGATACTTTAAATTTTATTAATCCTTTGATTTTCAAGATTTTCATTTTGGTGTTTAATTGGGCATTTTTAATTGTTTTATCTTCTTTTTTTTTCATTTTTAGTTGCAAGTCCAATTCATTGATCTGGTTTTTCTTTCTTCTGTAGATGTATACATTTAGAGATATAAATTTTCCCTTAAATACTGCTTTGGCTGCATCCCATAAATTCTGGAATATTGTTTCATTGCTGTCTTTATCTTTAATGAAATTATTGACTGTTTCTATTATTTGTTCTTTGACTCACTCATTCATTCAGATTATGTTATTTAGTTTCCACTTAATTTTTAATCAATGTTTCCAAGGTCCTTCATCAAATGTAATTTTTATTGTATTATCATCTTAAAAGTGTGCATTAAATATTTTTGCTTTTTCTGCATTTGGCTGTGAGGTTTTTATGCCCTAATACATGGTTAATTTTTGTAGGGTGCCATATACAGCTGAAAAAAAGGTATACCCCTTTATATTCCTATTCAACTTTATCTAGAGAGCTATCATATTTAACTTTTCTAAGACTATTCATTTCTTTATGTCCTTTCTTATTTATTTTATAGATTTTTCTAGTTCTGAGAGGGGAAAATTGAGCTCCCTTAAGAGTATAATTTTACTCTCTATTTCTTACTATAATTTATTTAACTTTTCCTTTAAGAATTTGGATGCTATGCCATTTGGTGCATATATGTTAATATTGATATTACTTCATTGTCTATGGTACCTTTCAGCACAATGTAGTTTCCCTGATTATGACTTTTAATTAAGTTTTTGTTGTTGTTTTTACTTTGTCTGAAACCATGATTGCTACCCTTGCCTGTCCCTTGGCTGAAGCTGTCCCAAGCTTCAGCCTTTTATGCACTGTTGTTTTCAAAGCTAGTTCCATGGTATAAGATGTTTTCAGTGCTTCAAAGGTGGTGTGATCTAAGGAGAGTTATGGTCATTTCTCTTGTGGTCTGTGCTCTGGTCCTTAACCAAGAAAGGTCCATGATCTCTTGGGATTACAATTGAACTGATCCTTGGGGTCCCTAGTCCCTTGGTGCCAGAAGTGATACTGCTCTTCAGGGCCCCTGATCTCTCTTGAGCAAAAGTGTCCTTCTTCACCCTTGAACTGTGACTGAGAAGTGGCTATAGGCAATGTATTTGCCAAAACCTAGAATGTTTTTTGTTTGAAACTGGTGACTTGAGCTCCTTTGGAGCAGTTATATGGCCCCTTTTTACCTTTCTTTTTTAATCTTCAATTTACATTTCCTGTTAACCACTTTTTTAAAATGTATGCTTTCTAGTCCAAAGAAATGGTGTACTTCTGCTGTATTCATAGTCTGACTGTTCAGTTGATTTCTAAATGGATTTCTGATGGTCCTACACCCAAATTTCCACCTTAGAAAAGCATTAAGAGACATCTAACTGGCATGCCCCTTTGCCACGTCCTGGATAGTTGGGAGATGCTTACTAAGGATCAGAGTGGGTAATGACAAAACTTGGATACCTTCAGATGGTCCTGCTCTTTTAACTTTAAACTTTGTTCTCTACATTTGCCTTAGTCACACTCAGTGTCCATATTCAGAAAGGATGATCTCAATCCTGGAGTATCCCAGGACTAGGGAGGTAGTAATATTTCCTATATACTCCATCTTGATCAGACCATATCTGGAATACAATGTTCTTTCATAAGCACTCAAATTTAGGAAGTTCATGGAGAAGCTGGAGTCACCTAGAGAAAAGTGACCAGGATGCTGAAAGACTCTTGAGATTGAGTGAGTTGAGGATCTGTTGAAGGAATTGGGGATGTTTAGCCTAAAGTAGAGAAGATTTATCCGGCAAATTAAAGATTTATTGATGTCAACACCAGAAATGCAGATATATCCTGCAAACATGAAACCAACACTGTCATGCCAACCTGGAAATTAACTTTTTATCACATATCTTGCCTATGAAATGCATGTGGCTTAATTCTTCCTGATGCCAAGAGAATGGAATTTAAGATAAATAGAGCTCGAAGGATGAGGCATCTTCCCCTAAACAGGGCGAGAAAATTTTCAGCATTCCAGAATACTAGACAGTAATTAGGAATTAGGTTTTCACCCTTTGTCTGTCACCTCTTTCAGCAGGAAGCAGAGACATTCCCTACCTTGCCATACATACATCCCTGATGAGGCATTTTCCATTCTTTCCTTTCCCTTCATTTACAGTGGGGGAGTAGAGATTGATTGGTTAGTGGTATAGATCTACAATCAAGTATCCAGGGACCTGAAGTATAATCTGGTTTTACACTGTTTTCAGGACAAGAGGAATACCAATGTTTCAAACTCCTGAGAACACCACCTAACAATGGAAATTCTCTCTGCCTGCATTGGGGATCTTCATTCATTTAGTTCATTTTGGCTCTCTATTATTTACTATCAATCTTGGGAATCCCCAAGATGGTGACACCGTCCCAGCACTGCCTTCTTCAGGGCATCTTTTACTTCCTTGTTCCTCAGGCAGTAGATGGCTGGGTTGAGGAGAGGCACAATAACAGTATATAATACAGATATGATTTTATTGTAGTTAAAGGAATACATAGCCTGAGGTCGAGCATATGTGAAGAGGGTGGAGGAGTAGAAGATAACAACCACTGCCAAGTGTGAGGCACAGGTTGAAAAGGCCTTCTTCCTTCCCTGGGCAGTGGGGATCCTCAGGATGGCCACAATGATAGCAACATAGGAGGAGGCCACTGCCAGCAGAGGGAGCAAGATCATTACCAAGGCCAGGAGGAAATCCACCACCTCAGCCTGTTCCTTGTCTGTACAAGTGAGGTTGAGGAGAGGAGATATGTCACAGAAGAAGTGGTTGATGACATTGGGTCCACAATAGGACTGCCGAGCAATGAACAAAAGCTTCATCATGGAGCTAAAGAAGCCACTGCCCCAGGAAGCTGTTGCAAGGCGGGTAGCTAGAGTTGAAGGCATGAGGCTGGGATAGCGGAGGGGCTCACAGATGGCAAGGTACCGGTCATAAGCCATGACAGCTAAGAGGACACACTCAGTGCAGGCCAATGCGATGAAGAAGTAGAGTTGGGTCATGCAGCCCACAAAGGAGATCCAAAGATCCTGGGTAAGAAAGGCTCCCAGTAGCCGAGGGACAGTAACATTGATGTACCACATCTCCAAGAAGGACAGGTGGCCCAGGAAAAAATACATAGGGCAGTGGAGGGCAGGAGTAAGCCATATAGTGGACACAATGAGAGCATTCTCCAGTACAGTCATCAGGTAGAAGGTCAGAAAGAGGACAAAGAGAAATACCTGGAGGGGCTGTGAGGTGGGAAAGCCCACCAGGATGAATTTCTCTACATGGGTTCCACTCCAATTTCCCATGGTCTCTCACCTCATGAATGTTACTGTGAGTGGTAAAAGGAAAAACAAGTGAACAAATAGAAAGGCAGATTCTACAAAGCTTTCCAAAGATAAACATCAAGGAGGTTCACAGGGAAAACTACTAGACTGATAGTTGTAATTGTGTCCATTGTCCTTGTTGTAGGGTATGTGTAGTGACTCGAGTTGTATTAGTGATCCAATAGGATCCTACTATGTGCCTGAAATTAGACCTAAAATAAGAGCATGACGGAATTGGGAGTCATGTGCAGAGGGTTAGTATTAATCTGTGTCTCTGTCTTTTCTTGTATGAGAACATTCAGGCCTCAATGCAGGAGTGAACTGGTAAACAAATGTTTAACAACTGGCTGTGAAGAAAAAGAAGAAGAAGAAAAAGAAGAAGAAGAAGAAGAAGAAGAAGAAGGAGAAGAAGAAGAAGGAGAAGAAGAAGAAGAAGAAGAAGAAGAAGAAGAAGAAGAAGAAGAAGAAGAAGAAGAAGAAGAAGAAGGAGAAGGAGAAGAAGGAGAAGGAGAAGAAGAAAAGAAAAGAAAAGAAAAAACACCCATAAGACACACTTTAAGTTTAATCTGCATTATTAACATTTTCTCTTTCTCTTTTTTAAGTCTAAACCATCAACAAAATAATCAATGAAGCCCTGATTTATAAAGTTTATGAATTTTTGTAAACGCTTACACTGAAAATTTAACAATCACTTTTGTGAGAGATTTGAGCTGGCTCCATCACACCCCTGCCTAAATAAATGTCTTTCAAAGTATAGATAGTTTGTGTCTGTCTCTGAACTTGTGTCTCTGGACAAAAGCAATAGCTTTTGGCCCTTGGATTGATGACTATATAGGGTAACGTGTAGGAGAAAAGGGTGAATAAATAAAGAAGAAGGAGCAGGGGTAGAGACCCGGTATTGCATTTGACACACAGGTTGAACATGAAAAGAGCTGAGAAGTCAGAACAAGTTTGATTCCTGGCAGAAAGTCTTTCCCCAGACCTTCTTTGCCCCCTGCACTTCTCTGTATTTATCTCTTTACCCTAAATTAGTTCCGTATTCCTCATATCTTCCTTATTCCTTTCTCTAAGTCTACAGAAAAAAAGTAAACTAGCAAAAACAAGTGCTAAATGATAATAAGCACTATTTACACTTTACAATATGTTTTGCATGGCATACTAGGTAAAAGAGTTGACTCTGGTACCAGAAAGTCCTAGGTTCAAATCCTACTTTTAACACACACTGACACACCATGAGCAAGTCACTTAATTTCTCAGTGACCTTGGCAACTCTGCAAGAGTTTAAGCTGGAGGGTGCTTACCTATTTGTGTTGGCAGAGGGAACTTCCTCATCAGAATTCCCTATCACAATAAAATCACCCCAAAAGTGCTTTATATAGCGGAAAGGAGTAAGCATTTATTAAACACCTACTATGTATCAGGCACTTTACTAAATGAGGCAGGTACTACTATTATTTCCATTTTTACAGTTGGAGAAACAGAGGCAAACAGTGGTTAAGTGACTTGCTCAGAGTCAAACAAATAAAAAAGTGTTTGAGGCTGTATTTGAATTCAGTTCCTGATTCCAGGTCCCACCTTCTATTTATTGTACCACTTGCTGCCTCTCCTTATCTACACAATCTCATTTAGTCTTTACAACAACCCTGGAAGGTAGACACTATTGTTATCCCCATCTCACAGATGAGGAAACCCTGCACTTATTGGACGGTTTACAAAATGCTTTCCTTCCTGTGGTATCTATACAGTACCTTCCAAATTTAAACCTGTGATTATTCGATTGACAGTTTATAGATGGGGAAACAGAGTCTCAGAGAGACTAAGTAACTTGGATAAACTTACAGAGATGGTGAACCAGAATCTGAGCACATGTGTTTTGACTCCAATCCCAGGTCTTTTTCCTACAGAGTGCATACACCCATCCTTCTCTGTCTTCACTGTCTTCTGATCTTGGTCCTACTCTTGAGCCTTTACAGGGAAGGGAGGGGAGAAAGAGGAGACACGGTCCATGCCACCGCTCTTAGGGTCTCATTACTACCCTCCTCCACTGTAAGCAACATTCTCCTAAAAGGTCTTCCTAACTCCAACTCTTTTCCCTTACTTGACATTATTTTCAGGCTTACTGTCTTTATTCACTAATAGAGACACTACCGTAAAGCTAGGAGTCAGTGGACCTGAGTTCAAATCCTGCTTCAGATACCTGTTGGCTACATGATCATGGGCTTGTCTCTTCGCCCCTCAAAGCTTCAGTTCCTCATCTATAAAATGGAGATAATAACACTTTGGTTTCCTTCCTTTGGTCTGTAGGGAGAAAAGTACTTTGCAAACTTTAGATGATGGAGAAAAGTGAACTGGACCTTTGCTTGCACCATTCCTCCACCCATATTCCTTCAGGGGTCACCCAGTTACTGACCAAGCATTTCAAACTTTGGTATTTGAGGCTCTCTGAAATCCAGCCCCACTCCTTCTCACCAGCTAGATTTCATAGTAGTGCCTTCCACATAGTTCCAGCCAAATTAAATTACTCACTGTTCCATATATACATATATATGTATGTGTGTATATATATTCTGCACTTTCCACTTCCAAGTCCTTTCTCCTACAACTGTCTGAACCTCCTCTTCTTTCTCTCCATAACCCAACTTTTGAAATCTTACCCACTCCTAATTAAAATACTCTCTGCTCTGGAGAGCTCTCCTCACTAGGCAGTCATGTGGTATAATGGATATAGTGACAGACTTAGAATCAGAAGACCTGAGTTTGAATCTTGCCTCAGGTACTTTCTTGTAAACAACATGTTGGATTTTGCTTTCTAATCCACTTTCATTTTAGATATAGCTAGGAGTGGATAGAAAGCTGGATTTGAGTTCAAATCTAGCCTCAGATACTCTCTAGCACTATGACCCTGGGAAAGTCATTTAAATGCTCCTGGTCTCAGTTTCCTCATCTGTAAAATGGAGATAATAAGGGCATCTACTTTTGCAGAATTTCTGTGAGGTTCAAATATGATAACATATATAAAAAGCTTTATAAATGTTAGTCATAATAATTATCATTATTATTATTATTATTATCCCCCACTAGTTTATAGGTTCAAATATAATCTTCTCACAGATGACTCAAAGATATATTTATCCAATCTGTCTCTCTCTTGAATTCTAGTTCTACTTCAAGGGTTTCATGTTGGGTATTTACACGTCAGTTCCTGTCTTAACTGGAAGTTAACAGGGATTCTCCTAGCACATTTGTGAGATTCATTCCTCTCTAATGAAAGTTCACACACACACACACACACACACACACACACGCAAAACATACACTTATAATCAGAGCGCAGAGATACACACCCACACAACAATAGCAGGAGCAATAACAACAAAACAATTTCCTGGGTAATTAAGGGGAGAAGAAACAAGAAGCAAAGTAAAATGAGAATGTTTCAGATTAGATTCACACAGTCCTAGTGCTGCTGCTGTTGTTATTATTGGGTTTTTTTTTTTAATCCCCTCTGGTTCTAATAGAGTGGTCTAAGGAAAAATATGGAATGCTGCCCTTCTTACTACTTTCCTAAGATATTATGTGGTCTCACATGCTAGAAATAGTCAAAACTTCATTTGGCTTTGGGCTGTGTAGATGCTGTTTAAATAAAGTCACAACAGTGATTGTGGCTCTGAATATGGGGATGAGGACAAAGTCACCAGACGAGCACTTGGGATATCTGTGGATGTCTCTTAGGCATCTTGAACTCAGTATGTCAAAGACAGAACTCATTAGGGACAGCTGGGTGGTACAATGAATAGAGAGCTGGGCCTGGAGTCAGGAAAAACTGAGTCAAAATGCTGCAACACTTTTATACCCATGAGCAAGTCACTTCATCTCCATTTGTCTCATATGTAAAATAGGTGTAATAATAACACCTGGCTCCCAGGGTTGTTGTGAGGATAAAAGGAGATAATATTTGTAAAATGTTTCACAAACATTAAAGTGCTATATAAATGATAGCTATTATTTGCTCTCCCCTCCACCCCACAATGTGCCACTTATTCAAACTTGCCTGATTCTGTCCAGGTCACTGGCATCCTCCTAAGTACCCCAAACTGTAACCTTAGAGTCCTGATTGACATTTTCCTCTCCTTCATCATTCAAGTTGTCAAATATTTTTTAGTTATACCTCCATAATATCTCTCACCTCCATACTCTTCTCTTCCATTCATGCATCTACTATCTCAGTCTATCACTTCAATCCTGGACTCCTGAAATAGTATCCTAGTTGACCTCCTTGCTCCCAGTCTCTCCCCTCTCTATCCTCTCCTCTACAGAGCTGCCAACCATTAATGTACAAGACTGACCTTCTCTGCCAAATTTTAAGTTGGATTGTAGGCAAAGAGCCTACAATGCATCTCAGTCTCTGATCAAGAGCATGCTTCCTTCTTCCTCTAATTGCTTTCTCCCAGCTGCCAGCAGAATAGAGTTCTACCATTAAGGTGTAGTGGCCTGATACACAATTTCATCCTTTTCACTAATGCAAGTACCTTAATCCTCTCTCTCACCTTGATGCCTCCAATTTAAGTCCCAGCAGATAAGGTAGACAGCTGGAAGCAGACTCTTCCCTTCTCCCTCTAGGCTGCATCTACCTAGTACAAAGAGTACTGAAGATATTTTACTGCTCAAATGAGCTGGTTGAGATTGGGGCAGACTCTTCTGGTCCCTAAGTCTAGATTTATTGTCTACACAGACCAATTCAACTATTGTGATGGTCAATTTCCCCTTTATTGGATGGTCTATAGACAAGACCTAATCTCAACATTGTTGACCTCCTCAGGCAGGCTCCTTGGGAATACGCTTCTAAAGTAAAAGCTAGAGAAAATCATATTCCCCAAACTTCACCTTTAATCCTAGCCAATGATAGCTCAAACAGCCCTTCAGCCTCCATTTTAAATTATGTTTTCAGTTTGGAAGGGCCCAATTCAATGAGTGAAGAGTGG